GAGGATGAAGAGAAGGGTGAAAATGGCGATCATAAGGAGAAAGGAAGTAAGAAATGGCATCACTATTTTTTATACAGGACTAGGGTTATCTATAACTTCCACCACAGCTGTTAGTTCAACTGCCAAACAACAACATCAGCAGCAACATCAACACCACCCAGCCCCCCGCACAAGCATCATAGCAACACCTTGATAAGCACCAAAGACACCAACTTGATCACCAGATATTCTAACAACAGGTTAAATGCGATCTCCGAATTGGTCAATCGGATGAAAATGGGATAACTCGAAACCGTTTTCTTTTCCCTTAAAATAATATCAAGGCATTGGAGTTTCTGAAAACCGCCTTCTATTTATTTATTGTATGAGATTGTTATCTGCTACTCCAGTGGAGTTAGGCAGGTATTGTCCAGATTGCTCTTTCTTACCCCAATTTGACTGATTCTTGATTGACCGGCTGTTTTATTGCCTGGTAATTTGGCTATTTGCCAACTGGCCAATTGACTGACAGATTAATTAATTGCTCAACTAACTGATTGACTTACCCACTTTCTCCTACTTTTAATAAACTGTTTCATTTTTTGCCTCTTTGTCAATAAATTGACCACGTGTTTCAATAGGTAGTTGGGCTAGACCACTGGAGATCGATGCGATCCGAGCAAGAAGCAATGCCAGAATACCGGTCCTTGATTGCCTACTAGTCTGGTGTGATGACGAGCTCTTTGATTGGTGAAATCTCTGAGGAGATGATAGTGCAGAAAATCATGTATATGCTGAATTTAAGGATCCATGGGAATGGAATTGCAGTGAAGGAAATGCAATGGCCAAAAAGGAGATTTGAACGATCAAATTGCATCATGCTGAAAGGTTGCTGAGATGGAAAGGAGTCGGAAATGGTGAAGGTGTGGATGGAAACAGACGAGGGAGGAGAAGCTGATGCAGGAAAGAAAACTCTTTCGAGAGTGCAAAAGTGAAGGATGGGAGGGTGGAGGAAAGATTTGATGGGAATTGAGGAGAGGGTGTAGTGGGTTGCTGAGATGCGAATAAACCGCTCTAAATGGAATAGGAATGATTATGTGGGAAGAGCGTGGGTCAGCTGCACGTGAGGTCAGATTTCGGTGGGTATGTTTACACAGAAAAGGAGTTAGTTGAGCCACGTTGGAATCCTCGAATTATTTAATCGAATTGGGTGCTGTAAGTGAGCGAAATCCTCATGCGTAGGGGCAAAGTCCCTTTTAGCATGCCTCAAAACACTTAGTCGTTTGCATTGGAATCTTTTGTGAGACAGCATGACTACAAAATCTGGCTTTCATCTGGAAATGGAGAATGGTATAAGGGGACCGGATGGAAATGGCCCATAGGCATTTGTTGGAATAGCAATTAATCGCACTGTCTTAATAAATTTGGCCGATTACTAGTAAAATTTGGCACCTACAGTCGTCATTTCTTGGGCATGAAGAGGATCTCCAAAGCATACATTAGTAATAACGATTACCATTGTTTTAGGTTTTGTTATTGGTGTAGGGCACAATAAAAGCGAATTGGTGGTGCCAACTCTGTGCCTCTCTCTGTCTCTGTCCTATGATGAAGAAATCCACATATTAGGATGCGTATAAAGAGTGGTTCAACCAACTCAGTGTCGCCTAAATGGATGGTGAGTGCTGTGCTCACTGCAGATCCTCCTGTTGGCTTACTTTAAATGAATTGACGTTAATGGATCTCTACAACTAAGAGGCTGTAATTCCATTAGAACATTTGACTTGCCGTTTAAGAAGAACCGCATACTTTTGCATAATTGCTTTTCTGTTCGTGCTGTCATCATGGATGGCGAGTATACACCTGGACAAGAGTAGAGCCGCAGCAGTAGCAGGTTTTGCACGACCTTGCGTCTACTCAAACCAAAGGGTCTTTTGGTACATGGTGCAATGGTCTCTGTGCCACCAGTGCCTCTCCTTTCCAAACCTTACAATTGTAGTCCAGGAATGCCGCTAATCCATTCATATTTACTTTCGCTACACTGACTGGCCACATGGTTCGCGTGTATAGTTGTTACACCGTTAGATGCGGGATTTATCACATTCTGGCTTACGCAAACATGGAATCTGGTAAGTGTGCGCACCTTCACGCTAGTCGTTATCTGTGTGTGCTTGTGCACGTGTGTAACTCTGGTTGATTGACCATCGAGCTCCTCCCCTCTGTTTGCGTGCCCCATTATTCAGGTTCATATTTTGCCATTTGGACAGTCAGGTCACATGGCTCATCACAGAAATGGGTAAGAAATCATACCATATCCATTAGTTGTTACACGTAGGTCAAAGTTCATTGCGTGTAGATTAGCATTTTATGAGTACGCGCATATGCACGTGTATTCATCCCTTCTCCCTCTCCTAACTCTTCCATTCGACCAGATATCCAGCTACACTCCAGGCCGGGTAGGAATTCGTTTAGTAATTAAATGGGTTGTAGGTAAGTTAGTTTATTAGGTCACTAGTATTTTGATTGGGCAATTTCCGTCTTCTTTATCCTCGTCAAGACCTTGGCTATGTCAAACTACTCTGTAATCCATCCCCTTCACATCCAGAGTGATACGAACGCCAAATGGTAGGAAGAAGAAGGAACAAATATGACGGAAATGAGTAGTCTTGTAATTTCAAATAATCGTCAAGAGACGTAAAAGTAGAGTGAAGAAAGACGTGAAGAAGACGGAGGGAGATTGAAAGCAGCAGGGAAGGTGGGGACAAATCATGGGCCTAGTCATTAGGATTTGGCGAAACCAGCACTGCTATCTGCATTAAACCAGTATCCCACCAGTGAAACTTAACTAAAAATGGACAGCTATTCAGCCATCCTACCAAGAAGAGTGGCAGTGTTATAACATCATAGGCTAGATAAATTGGATGGGAAAGTACCCCACATCTGTAGAATTGCCTTAAGAAATAAGTCTTGGAGACGATTTCCTGGGCAGCACCAAAGCAGTTTGGAATTTTGCGAAAGCCGTCTTTCCCACCCACCAAGAAACTGAAGCCTCGACAATCCTTTCCCTACCAAAGGCAGACTTCGACAATATTTGTATTGCCTCATTCGAAGCTGCAGGTATATCTATAATCAGCCTAGATGGCCTCTGCACTCGGCTTAGTCATCTTACAGTCAACAAGATGAGAGAACCTTGGAAACCAACGGTTAAATATGCGAGCACACTCTCATAGCAAGGCGTTAGGCTGGGTATAACATACATTTGGAATAACAAGATAGAAGCTGTCGACTCCTGACCGATCTAAAAGTGACCCAGACGCATACCACCCCTTCTGCTGGAAGTGAATCTTCGTGGCAGAGAAATGCTCAGCGACGAGGTTATATATCCTTCAAAGTCACCGTGAGCAACACCAAATGCACTGGTGAAGAGGAATGAAAGTCCGTGACTGTGCATAGACTACGGAAAGCAGAACGTAAAAGATTTGTCAGGCTCTCGACGTGTCATAGTGATTCTCCACGTTAGATTTGGACTTGAATACTGGCAATTAGAAGTGACAACAACAGACAGAGAGAAGACAGCTTGTGCATTGTTAAACGGGCTTAATGGATTCCAGGCAGTTCTTTTTGGACTCTATAATTCAGTGTTGACTTTCCAATGCTTTACGCGAACGGCACAAATCGGATTATTTCTAAGGCATTGCACAATATACTAGGATAACACTGACTTTGTAAGGAATGTTTGTGGGTAAATGTCAATCTTAAAGTTGGGGTGGGCAGCTAACGAGACGTAGATTTTATTCGAAACCCCAAAACCCAACAACTGCCTTGCCGGACGGGGTGGCGATTTGTGAAGGATAAAAAGGAGCTGGCTAACTCCACTTAATCAGACAGAGCTCCCTCGTTACCTGCATGGCAGGCTCTACTGACGTTTCTTCAAGGGCTTTACCGAGATCACAAGCCTTCTGCGTACACTGATGGAAAAGCAGACGAAGAAGAATTTGGGTTGTAAGAAAGAACACGATAATGCATTTTAGCCACATTAAATTTTGAATACTTGCTTTACCATTTATACTGGTGCAGCCTTGAGCGGTGCACTTTTTATGTGGACAAAGATGGCAGAAAATACATCGTCACCACTCAAGTTCCAAAAGTAACAAAGCAACGCTACATTAATGTGGAACCTACTCCGGATTGTTCATCACTATCAAAACTTTTTGGCTTTTCAGACAGTGCATTTTAATGAGGGAGTTCAGAGTGAAAATGAATTATCATTGGTCCCTGCCTTGGTTAAAAACAATGAAGGTGATATACCAATTGGTGGCACAATATTAAGAGGATCTGTAACAGCACGTTTTTTGCGGCACAATGCTGCCCAGAATGAAGGACAGACATGACGAAGTAGATGTCCTCCCTAGCAGACCGAAACTGGCACAAAGAGTTAATGCTGCAAGGAGAACCATATTTTTGGGCGAGCCCATTAGGCCCCATTGGAGAAATTCTCGAAGCATGGTTCTTGTCATCTGCTTGCATACCCACAGTGAAAGGGATGAACTTGTCGAGCAAGAAGACCAGATGGATATGGCAGGAAGGGTCAAAACTGTCACTAGCGGGCAAGATAGTATTGTAGCAAGGTCATGTTTTAACTCTTAACCGCCCAGTGAGGCCATTTTTATCAGTACAAACGTGCCACCAAGAGTTACTTGGGCAATGGGACCATTAGTGGGCAGAGAAAGTGCTGAGATTGCCGGGCAAAGGCAATGGTGGCCTGCGCTCACCCCAGATGTACCTGATTCCTGCCAGACCTCAGTTGCCTACATCACCTCACAGCGATTGCACCACTCCAATCTATGCCTTCTAGTTTTTCGAGAGGGAGGGTGGGCATGGGTCTTCTACAGACCACCGAAAGAAGAAAACGGTATATCCTTATTATGGTAGTCTACTTACAAAATGCGGTCGAGACAGAAATTGTGAGAACATTTAACACTGATACAATTATTGAAGTTTTCTTTTTCATTTGCCGAATTTGTCAACACAGAGTGCCAGCAACGATGCATGACGATAAGGTTTGTTTTTTCGGAAGCCTGCTCTTTACCGAACTATGAAAGTAGTACAGGATTTTCAAGATATGCACCACATCTGCGCATGCGCAAGGTAGTGGACAGGTGAAAAATTCAAAAAGCACTCAGCATGGCCTGTTGAAGTATTGCACGAAGGATGTATAATTGAAAGACTGTAACATATGCCTTGAACGGTGTCTTTCCGCTTACAGGGCTACAGTTCATGTACCATTGGGCCTTCCAACGTTCAAGATGCCCACAGTTGTGATAATAGAGTACCAACCGGTATTTTATCATTAAACCCTAAAAAACAAATCCAAAATGTCCCTGAATATGCACTGCCACTTAAAGACGAGATGTGAAGAACTTCCCACACCGCCCAGAGACACCTGCTACCATCATATATATCACAACAGATGATCTACGGTGGCAGCCACAGTTACCCTAATGTTAACCAAAAGGAAGACCTATTACGGTCAAGCGGTCCTGTCCCGCCGTTTGAAGTATATTGCACATCCCATTAGCGGTGAGAGAGGGTTGTATTTTGAGTGATGAAAGCCATTTCATTTGCAAACCACCTGGATTGCAACGCGCAACTACGTGCTCAACCACTCAAGGTTCATTATAACAAGAGGGAGTTTGCATACCAGGGAAGTATAAAGACAATTAAAAGTGGCAAATTTAGATCCCACTCATTGGGAAAGTACCGAAGACTATTCCAAAAGGATGAGGGGCCTAGGTAATTCATGCATGTTGAAATGTGCATATTGGGCGAGGGTCGACATTATGTACCGTGCTATTGTCCGCAGGGGTTGGTGGAAACTCCGAGCTCATATAGACTTGACCTCCTGTTGCGTTGTAGGGCTAGTGAACTAGCGACAAGGTGAGGCAACTGGGTAGAGATATGGAGTACTTGGGAGTTGATTGGCTTAAAATTTTGAGAGAAAGTAAAGCTGATATGCTAAGAAATAAGCAGGTTGAGAGGCAGATAAAAACGAAAATTTGAAGCTAAAATATTAGGATGTAGAGAGGTAGAGAGCCAGATGACTGGAGAGGTAGTGTTCTTGAGTATCAAATAGGTAGACAAATGATTATTTAGATGTCAAGAGGGGAAGTGATTTACGGGAATATGGAGAGCTAGATATTTCAGGCTTGCAATTTAGGGGTCAATTTTATGCGTCTGCAGATTATTCCTTCTCTTTCCCGCTTGTTTGTGCTCTCCGCCATTGTGAAGCATACAATTCATGTCCTCACATCAGTTTAAACACGCCTTGAGTAGGCAGATGCTATTTCACTGTTTTAATCTTCATTCATTTTGATGAGGAATAGCTAGTAGCCTAAAATCGCTTTCTTTGAATCATGTTTTGCCGTTAATCCTCGTTATTCTAATCCTATCCATAATAATTATCCTAAAAGCTATGAAGTTAGAGGAGTACAGGTCTAAGTTACATGCAGCGGGAAAACGCATGCTAATTATTTGGCTATTGCCTTTACTTGGATAGATTTTGTTACAGGGGAAATGTTCTCATGAGTAGGCTCTTACACTCACGAGCACACACCGGAGATGTGGACAACCAAGCTACCTGGACTTCAGCGTAGGCATCAAGAACAAGGTAAATTATTTAGCATTTGTCAGTTTTTTTTTTAATTCTTTGCAGACTTAACAACTCGTCTGCACCATTTATAAAAGGAGTAGCGAAGTGGGTAAAAGTGAAAGCCGTCACTTACAGTAAGGGCATTTGCAGCGTGGTGTTCGCGTCCCCCCACCAGTCTTTCCAGTAGCGCTTAATGTGCAGATGCACATCAGGTTTTAGCTTTTCCTCCAAATTATTCCTTTTCCCCACAGGCAATTGGAGCCAAGAATAGCAAGGGAAACGGTTTTAGGGTCTCGATCGTTGGAAGGGGGCGTTAGTACGTATTTTAGCGGAAAGCCGCCCTTTACCACATGCAGTCTTTGCGATCCAGAATAGGATAGACGAAAGCTCTTTTTATCACGCCGACCACCAGCTAGTCCTATTGCAACCTTCGGATCAACTCAACTATGTGACATCGTGGTAAGGGTCAATGACAAATATACCTTCATCAACGCCTACTGCTATCTCAACCATGGATGGGCTGAATGGAAGCTGCATCAAGTTCTAAGATAAATTAACCATACACTAGCAAAAAACTTATTTTATTTTTGCCGTATTACAGGAGGGCTTACTAAGAATGCGTGCTACTTTCCACTAATACTTTTACCATTGTTTATCCGTGGATAAAACTTAGCTAAATATGTCTGTCAACGAAAGCAATTTTGCATATTTTTATGATGTTAAAAAAATCTGAAGGCTAAGAGGCCGGTTCCTTGAGGGATTAAATAATTCAGCTGGAGGTAGGAGCATACGCCATAGGGTCGACGAAAATGAAAGTCACACAGGGGTATAGTACCTAAAACAACCAATAGGAGAATGGCATTTGCGCATTCTCCTCACTTTGGCCGCTCCAAAAGAGCAATCTTTTAGCATCCGCAAGTCTATTCAGACCGTGACTCAATGAGAAGCACGTAGTAAGTCAGGCTTGATGACTGTCCAAAACGACTAGCAAACCTTCCTCCATGGCTTTATCCATTATATGTTTAGCCTCAACGAGTGAGAGGTCATCCAAAATTACTGAGCAGTGAAAAGCAAATGAGTAAACAAAGTTGTCACTCGAGAGCGGAGGTGAACCCACCGATTGCGTTGATGCTACTAATGGAATGCTGAAGTAGAAAGTTTGATTTTTTTACTGTTCACTCTTGGATGATCAAAATTAGTAGCGGCCTGTAGGCAATTACGGTAATGTAACAGGCCTGTAAATAGAAATGCAGTAAGAAAGGTTAAGAGTCTAGGGGCTACGGGTCAGGCGTCAAGATTAGCTGATCACCTGAGAGGGGTTAGGTCAACGGGGGTGTGCAAAAGAAGTTCCTAAAGGTAGGGAGCACGTGAACGAAGTTTAGAAATGCAAAAAAGTAAATTGATAGGCCCTGGGGCTTTAAGGCAACTCACAGTAGAAGGCCCCGGAAAATATAGGATATATTAATGACCTCATTTGCCGAGCTCCCAAACGGCCCCAGCGCCGTACATTTAGCACCTTTGTTTTACAATGTCGTGATTATTTTTTGCTGAAAAAAATCAAGGTGCACATGTAGGGGTGTGTTGAGTGTTCGATGATTGCAAAGGACCACAGGTGTAGCATTGTATCAGACCCATTGAGTTAGTGGAAAGAAAAATTGAAGAAGGGCAGGCCTTTTTACCTGGTTTAATCAGGATGGAGTGGGTTAGTCCAGTAAGCGATGAAATGCGATTAAATGCAAAAATGCAGGCATAAGTGACACTACTCATCTTCTTATTCTGCTTTGGGTTCAAAACAGCAAACACTGGGAGCAAGAAGGAGTTAACAGAGCCACGGATTAATTAAGTAAGGAATAAAATCTTACCCATGATAATATTAGCTACAATCTTTGGTAAAATGGTGGGTTGAAAATACAAGTGTACACTCCACCGGAGGACCTAAATGATTGGAAAAAAGACGGGTATGAGTGAATTCAGGAGTAGTAGCCCTGGGGGATGATGAACTCACCTAACCGTATTTTGCCTTGTTCATTTAAGTTAGCCCTCTTGAGGGCGAAGGCGACACCAATTCCGGTCACGACGACATTAATTGTAGTAATAATGATTCCGTTGTGAACAAAGACCTTAAAAAATGTTGAAATGCCATTGTAGAACCTCCACTTTTGCTAATTAACCCCATCGACTAAGAACATGACCTTTCCATTTGTCCTCTTAACAAATTGTTGACTCTTCGACAGAGTGTGCGGTTGAGGCCCATAAATGAGCAGTCCTTTTGCATAACCAACCACTCTGCAGGCACATGTGACTGCCAGCTAGCATATACAGCTTAGCCTCAGTAATAAAGGAGCTGAAAAATACCTCTAGACTAGGGATCCATTGCCACAAATCTGACAAGCCTAATTTCATCGTCTATCACATGATGGTTTGGGAGGAAAACAACCCACCACAAAGCTCCGTGTGCCTTGATCGAGATGGTGGAAACGCTTTACCCCTTACAGGAAGAGCGAGAGTTGGGTGCAGTTGAGCCATCAGGCGCTGACACGTCTGGAATGATTGCTTCAGTTCATTAGGCCTACGAGGCTGTATGGCATCATATTGAAGGAGGCAGGAGGCGGGATAAGTGTTCCCGGTGTTGAATAAAAAGAACTTTTACTGCCTGATTGGTCTCTATCAAAGTGTACTATTCATGAGGCCTGTAACGTTGTCAACAACTGTATTGTGGGGTGTCGATGCTATGAAGAACTTACTTAATTTACACATTGTTTGCTTTTGGTGAGCTCAAAAGTTGCAGTACAACTTTACCGTGCATACAGTTAAGTGGTATAATTGAAGTTGTTTGGAATGTACAAAAGAGAGGCTCGATGTGACAAATCGAGCATTGCTTGGTAAAACCTTGTCATGTCTTATCTCGCCTTGTTCAAATAGCGCTTCTTCTGGATTATAGGGCTATTCCCCCCCACCATACTTCATTCATTTATTCGCCTTCCATTAGGAGTGACGTAGTGATCAAAGGGCATTACTTCAGACGAAGCAACTTAGAGGGATGCCACTGAACGAATTCTGCTGCCCACATTACTTACTTTTCATGTGCATGAATTTGCTACGTTACTTTGTGGAGTAGATGTGGGAAGTCTACCATGAACCCACATCGATGGGAAAGAGCTTCGTTAGTATACACTACCAACAATATGCACCTGCATCAAATGTCGCCATAATACAGCCTGACGAGCACCAACACGTGATTGACCCGTCACAAGGAGTAGCAAGATAGGCGTATTGCCTGATAAATGATCTTTGGTGTTGTTTGCTGTTTGAACATCAACTTTGCTACAGTCAACAGCATTTCTGACTGCACCCCACTGGCAGACAACAGGCACCTCACCTTATGATTACTTCCTCCTCATTCTCGCAAACAAACTGAACTAGCTGTAACAGCTACTGGCAAAAGTAAGACAGAGAAACAAAAGAGCATTTAGTAACTCAAAAGTAGCAAATGAACACGAAAGCACATGCAAGTGCATAGGTGGAAATCAAATGACATGCATTTCTGCAGATGAGTATTTCCTCCTCGCACGAATGCGTCAAGTATATCATCACCTCGAAACCGTTCTTTTCAATTAAGATCTCATAGGCTTTCATTTTCTTGTCACTAGTCGTCTCCCTTATTTTATTTACGATGACAGCCAGCTGGCAATACTTAGGTGGGCACCTGACTAACACTGAAACAAATTATTCAATTAGTTACCCAGTTTTGTTACACTTAACCCACATAGTACCAGTGGTCACTACTACAAATATAGCCCTGCTACTTGTGATTGTAATCCTTTTTCGTGATCAATTATTGAAACGTCAATGTGTAGAGTAGAGTCTAAACTTGGAAATGGTGGGGCATCTGAAGAACCACATAACACTCTTCCGATTCTCGAAAGTGAATACGACTTGCTGGCACTTTTCTGTTCCTCGTCGGCACCTTAACAACCCTGACGACTACGTAACTGGTCACAGCATTTTTCATTTCTTAGCGTGCGATAAAACACATTTGACTGGATGCAGACGTGTGAATGCTTGAAGTGGTAAATACTGTAAGACACATTAGTGCTAAAGGTGGTAAGTCAAACGTAGTAAGTTGGCTTGCTTGTTCATGTGCATTCTCCTGATCTGCAGATGGGTCTTATTTGGATGCACGGACGGTAGTTGCTGCCTTCGAAAGAAGGCGACATCCAAGTCAGGTGGCTAGGAGCTGATTGTTGCTATTTAAACAGGTCTTCCACCCGCTAATTGTTTTATATGCCTCTTCCGGTTGGTAGGGAGATTACGAAGGATCTCTGGCAGCAAAAGAAAATGGTCAAATGTTGGCATCGGACTGATAACCATACCATCTCTGATATTTTATGATGAGCCGGCCACCGGCCTTGATATCCACACTACCTCCAGTCTGATGAAACTGCTCAATCGGTGAGTCTGTTCATTACTTCTTATAATCCTTATAGAGCCTTAAATTAATAGAAGGTATTTTAAACCTCAACAGTACAATGCCGGCTTATTTATCTCAGTCGGGTTGAAATTGGCATTAAAACACTTTTATTGTTGCGTGTGAACAAATCTGGGAGTAAATTCACAGATTAATGTGCAGCCATTCCTCTTAGGCCTTAGACCCAAAAGACCGTGTTAGATCGACCACGGTAGGTGGGTTGCAGAAAAGCATAGTAACGAGTTATGCTGTGTGCTTTGGGTCGACATTCAAACAAGGCCGCTGTAGCAATACAGGATGGAGGAAATCAAAGCATGCAGCAGGCACGGTTACGGGTGGCCTTGATGGGAACTGTTGTAGGCTACGCCTTTTTTCAAAAAAATGTGGTTAAGGAAAGTGGAATTGGATTCAGCGAAGTTCTTAATAAAAGGCGGCTTTCATAAGTTAATGCCTTATGATGATTTGTCACTGCGATACTATTTAAAGAATTCAGAGACTAACCAGAATCAAACTGTTGTTACGCAGCACGAGATTGTAGCAACCTATTAAGGCTAAAATCTGCTGGGTACTTTCGGCATAAGATTAAAACGGTTGCAGTTGAAATGACGACTCCACTACCAGTAACTGAAGTCGCGTAAATGTAAAATAAGAGTTGATTCACCATTTGAATTTCTAATTCCTCAACTAGTCACGTTTTTATAATGGCACATGGTATGGCAATTACTGTCTGTAGTCCCCTGAAGGAATTAGGGGTTTGGGAAGGCACAACGTGATGACGTCTGAAGGTATGTGAAGAAGAATTGCACAGGGAGCACATGAGTTGGATCTCACACCACCTGCATGGCAATCCAATCACGAGAAACTGGAATGGTCATCACAGTAAATTCAAAAGTCAATCCATGTTTAACGGGTTTATTAGGTGCTCCGAATCCCCCTGATCGGCTCAATATAATAAGAGAATTCCGTCAATTTTAGCCTTGTGGTTGCTATTTTCTCGATTGCCTAAGGCTGACTGTTGACAGAAAGATAATTCCCGACTCGATTCATTAGTCCAACTTGACCATCTGCAAGATCTTTGATTCACTCAACCTACTTTATAACAGTCACTGCCACCAGTAATGCAGCACCTGGCACATCTCCTCTCCCTTTAAAACAATTACATAAATTTTGGTTCAAAATTGCGTCATATGGACATTCTTAAAATTACTTGCTTCCCACTTTCGCTAAGTTTATTTAGTGGATAAGCATCACTTGGAGAAAAACTCACGCATTCTATTGCTCACTAATGGGTTGAGATGATTCCGAGTGATAGGAAAGTGTGAGGAAGATGATCATGGTAGGACTCAAATCCTCCGAATTTATGGGAGCAAGCCCTTTCACATACAGCAGGAATACTGCGCACACATTGTCTGCATCACAAACTTCGCTTTCTGATGTTCCGCCCCCTTATCGTCCCGTTAGGTTACTCAGCAGAAGCCATACCCAGCCATTTGCACTGTTGCACAAAACAAAGCGTTGTAAGAAAGTGGAATTTGCTGCAATCTTGTGTCTTAAAAAAAATTATACTACATTGATCATTACTTGATTATCGCAGAAACGTTACGAAACGTTTACGGTTCCTTGTTTCCCTCAGATTTTGTCGAATTAGCATGGTAATTATATAGCTCCAAGTGAATACCATTTATCAACACCAACTAGATGCATCAAAACATCCTCATATTTGTCAATGTAATTCTAGGATATGCTATCATTTTTTATCCGAAATTTGGCCTTATTTATTTTGAAATTACAACGTGAAACAAAAAGTGCGCAACTTTGCAACATGCATGCAAGAGTAAAATATTCAATAATTACGCAGCTAAAAAGTGACCTAAAAATTATCAACTTTTGATATCTTTTAACTTCTTTAATCATATCACTTCAATTTATTACCTTGACTCACATATGACATTACATACACCGCGCATTCAAAATTGTTTCGACTTTGCTTGGTAATTTTGTGCACTTCTATTTACTTAATGCTTCATCAATATACAGATAAAAGCATCATTTGCAACTAAAAAGTGTCACTTCTCTGCATTTTAGAATGCAATGATAACAAATTTGTCAGTTTGTCATTAATATGGGAATTTAATTAATTAATTGGGATATTAGGGCATGGAGTTTTTCACCTTTAACAATTGTCCACTAAAATAATTTTTATCTTTTATTTATTAATGTTTTAGGCTTTGCAGGCAACGCAAAGTACTTATGAATATGCTCTAACAAATAATTTTCCAGTTTGAAAGTGGCAATAATCCCTTCTCGTTCCACTGGAAATTTTTATCAATTCTCGAAAATACATTTGCTCTTTATTCCTTTAATTATGCTTCTTTTCATCAGGCCAATCTAAGAACTTACACTTCATGCGATATTTGGCTTTGTGTGAACATTAACCGCCCAATATTTTAATCCACAATGCAAAATTTCTTAGTGATGTCAAAGCAAACCTTTTATGCATAAACGTTGCAACAGAACTTCAACAAATGAATTACAACTGCATGTTTGCCCTCCCATTCTTATCTTTACACTATCTGACGGATATTTACTGCCGGTCAAGTACAAGGTCAACTGTTGTCTCAGGTCCATTCATCCACGTTTGATTATGGAACACTGCGGTGTAAAACTTGTGACAGTGGAATTCGGTTTGCAAGACGGACAAGCCCAAAACAGCCATTGGATTTCTTAAATACCCTCACTTAATGGCAGAGTTTCAAGTTAGGATGGCAGCGCAGAGCAGAGTAAGGGTGGCTGGTGCAAACTCAAGCAACATTTGATTTGACTCTACAGGTTCTTACCAGTTCCAAAGTTTAGAAATCGCACGAGCTTCTATAAATACCCAGTAAACTGGATAACTGCATTCATCTTCGCATGCTTGCGATTTGAGGGAACAACAGACCTTATCGGTGGTACAGATCCAGGGGAATAATGGGGACCGGAATACATACACGTGAGAATTTGCATGCTCAACATCTTTGAACAAGATGGAATGCACTACAACTAATTGCAAAGACAATAATGAATATAGACAATTATACTGTTGATGGAATATATTACATCAACATGGAAAAATAAAATCACGTTCAAGTAAGTCGCAATCCCTAGAAGGTGAATTGCAAGTCGCCTCAGACAAGGTGGCTTTGCTCGGTTCCATCTGTCGTATGGCACGCACTCACCGCACAGGTCGCTGTTTACCTCCACTGTCTACTCAATAAGGTAGACATCAGCAGTCCCTGACTCCTTGAAGTACGACGCCACGTTCAGCGCAGACGAACTAACGCCTTTGAAAATAATAGCAAAGTAATTCAACAAAGTCACTGAATTCATTTACACACAGCAACGACTTATCACGGCAATAATTCAGCCTACAGGAGGGGTTAGTTTTGTGGCAGTATCTACGAAACACCTACAGCGATGGACTAATATTACAGACAAGCAGTACCTTATGTTAAGAGAAATTAACAAGGGCAGGACTGCAAAAAGTAGCTCCCATCTTCAATTTTGGATAACCTACACAGACTTTGCCTTCAGGATTTTTAAAGGAACTGCCTTACATATGCCTACCTGTTGTGGCACTGAAGAAATGGAATAAAGAACGCCGAACTTCCACAGTTTTATCTTCCATTCAGCAGTCAAACGCCATTGCCTTGAAGGTACAGAGGAATCCACGTCCAGCCAAACACACCACGTATCTGAACTACAAATAAAGTACTGATTTAAGGAAGCAAGATAAAATTTAGACTCAACGGCTGAAGGAAACATCTCAGAATACGCATTTTACTGACACACGCGGAAAGAAAGTACTGCCTTACGCACCCATCGAGGAGGGAGTTCAGGCCCACTATTCCCACCTTCCTCCAAGAAGAAGCATTTGACGCCATGGGTTCCAAATAAACATGTAGCACAACAAAAGCAGAATTAAATAAAGGTAAGCTGCCTGACATGCACGGAGGAAAACCAGGATAATTTATAAGGAAATAAATTCCAGCACCGGGGGAATGGCAAACAGAAGGCCGAAACTAACTGGTTCCATCTCCCACCTGGCATTTGTTGCCAAGGCAATTAACAACACCACCGGCCCTAAGAAAACAATGACTCAAAAAAGCAACGCTTGAAGCACTAGCGGAGTATAAAATAAATCTCCGTACTTCTTACTCTCCCTCCATATCAGCCTTTACCACCATGATGGCCAGGAAAGTAGATACACTGAAAATGCATCCATCTTTATATATATACACACATGCGCGCAAAGTTAACAAGCCGATCCTTGTCATGACCCGGACTGGTGGAACGCACCCCTACGTGTTGATCATGTTGACGAAGCCAAGGTAAGGTATCAAAATCGCCAAAACCCGCGATTATCTAGCAGTTGCCATGCCGCTACGACTGAATCACGAGCGAAAATCATGTTTAACCTCTGACCGTGGAGCCGTGAAACTAGGCAGGAGACGAAGTCCCCACAATCCACAATTATCGAATAGTTGCCGAGCCACTGTGAATAAAATAGGTGTGTAAATCATGCCACGACATTGTGTGTGCTTGCAAGGCACACTCGCCATTCCAATATCAGGGTCTCGACGATAAACACCTCACAGAATCAGCGCTAAGGTCAAATGTTTCTGAAGGGAAGACAGAGGACACTGGGAGTCCACACTCTACAACCAGCTGCGTAAAGGAACCACTGTGGTGCAGAAACAATGCAGAACAGCGCTAAACAAGGGGCAATGCGTTAGCAACAAGCACTAATGGGGTGCAAAATACGCCATGCATGCATAAAGCAAGGTGTGGTGATTAATAGAGTTTCTTATGAGAAATTACCCAAAACCGAAACCCGCGAATTTGACGGGGTAAAATTTACAAAGGAGTAATTGCAAATAAATCTGCCACTTTACTGCGCATCAAAAGAGCATTGAGGCATCTGCAAACAGTTGAACTGATATTCCAGTAGAGGCAGCAACAATGTAGTCAATTGAAAGAACAACAGGCTAAACTTCCCAAATCAAAATAGCTGTAACGCATAGAATGGAGTTGTAACGATAAATTCCCTACCTTGACAAAAAATGAGGCATGTAAACACTGCGCAACTTAAAACAGCAAGTACGTGTAGAAATCTACTGCACTACAAACCCCCAGTAAGAAGTCCCGATGCCTCATCAATCACTCAAAATTACAGTAAAATCTATCCTTATCGTGGAGTTCCACTACTTCTTAGTGGATGCAGAACGCATTCTCTAGTGACAAAGGGATGATTAAGCTGCGGAAGAGAAGGACTGCATAAAACCGTGAGTGATTTGAATACGAGAATCGTACAAACAGCTTAACAGTGGTTATCAGCACTCTACTGTCCCGCTTAATTACCATAGTTTGAGGTTTAAACCACACGCTGCTCCCGATTTGAGCACTAGCTTTCTGGTAGTTTAGTCAAGGTAGTCCATTTTCACCCCAACTCGAAGGATGAATTCATTCAAAAAGGAAACAAGTGCGTCTGTGGTGAAGG